AGGCCCCAGGCCCTCCTCATCCTCTTCACCGGCTGTTTTTCGATGGTGATTTGATAGAAGCCAGCAATGAGGTGAGGGTGACCTTGCCTCTCCTCCTCCCCGTAGCTCTGGGAAATGAGCTGGGTGTTGTTGGGCTGCCTCTGTCTATTTATAGCAAGGACTGCTCCAGCACACCAGGCTCTGAGAGGGGAGAGAAAAACATGAGAAGACTGGGGATTCACAGGGAGGAAGAAAGAGCGGAGGCCAGTGGAGACTGGGAGTCTATTTTTAGCTGGGCTGTCACAGCTCCCTTCAGAGCTTGCATCTACTAAGAATAATCCTTCAAAAGGAGCAGAGCTTCAGTGGCCTGCTGTCATTCCAGCCCCAGTGGAGGCAGCAGCAGGGACTGGGCCTCCTGCTGCCTCCTGGGTGCTGAGCCTCTGCAGAGTGCTCCCCATGCAGCGCCTCAACAAAAAGGAAACCTGGTGTTATAAAACTGCCATGTGGAGAAAAACATTTAATCCTGTTCTTTAATCACACTACTTAGGCCTTCGATCTCACTAACCAAAACTGCAAAAGTGAGCCGGCTGAGCACAGCAGGGGCTCCTTGAAAAGGCCATGCAGTGTCCTCCATGGCTGCTAGGAAGCACAGCTCCACACAGAGAACACTGCAAACTGGAAGGCAGTACTTTAAACTATTTATAAATACTTAAAATGGTATTGAGCTTGGGATATTTTCCAAACCACTGTGCTTTACACAGCAATTCTCATAAGCAATTATTTTCTTCATTGATTAATTCATTCTTTATAGACAAATAATAATGTCGAGGAACAAGGCACAGTACTAATTGCTATAGACATGCAAATGCAGGAGAAACCAAGCTACTACAAAGAACAGCAATAATTCATGTAGTAAAAATATATGACAACAAATTTACAAGCAAGGCCACTTCTAGCCGGAACTACCAGCAAGGAGTCTAAAAGAAGTGAAGGTGAACATTTTCAGAGGACCATTACCCGCCCCCCACAACACCAGCACTGTCTCTATCTATCTGCCATCCAGACATCCATCCATCCACATAGCATGGAACCAACTGAGCCAAACTTCCTTTTGAAGTTCAGCTCCAGATAAGATAAATACATGCATACCTTCAGGGAAAAAAAAGCCAACTTTTAAATAAAAATTGAGTCTGTCATTCTAAAAATTTTAGTGCCATTTTGGAAGTGAAAAAAAAAACAAAACACTGTACACATATGAAAGGAGGTGGAAGAAAGGGGAGTTCCTAGTTCCTATACTTAGAACCAACTCCCTTGAGTGGCTGACATTGAAAAATGAGGCAAAGGCAGAAAGGATTCCAAATACGCCTGGCCTTTAAGATCTATAAGGGAGCAGCATTCTATTTATATGTGACCTACTTACAAATACCCTTTATTCTAAGTGGCTACCTGGGACAGACAACAGAACTGCATTCTGGGTTGTCTGCTCTCCCAGTTCTGGCAGGAGTAAGTTTCCCCAGCAACATTTACCACAATGCTGTACAGATCCACACTCCATATGTAATGGGCTTGCAGTCTTTTTTGGCTAAGCTAAAACCTATGAAAAGATCCACACACACACACACACACACACACACACACACACACACACACACACGGATAGATACCACAAACCATATATTCTAGTTGGCTAAGCTAAAACCTATGAAAAGATACACACACACACACACACACACACACACACACACACACACGGATAGATACCACAAACCATATATTCTAGTCACCAAGACTTTGCCTCATTTGCCTTCACCACAGCATTTCCTCAGGGTATTTTGTAACAAGCTCCAGACTTTGTCCTTTCCTTTTTACTATTTTAGCTTGCATTTATCATGAGCCAGTTTCAGTTTGTATTTCCCAAGTTCACTTGCATGGGACGTAAAGAAGAGTTTGTGAGTTTGTGTGTATATTTTTCAGCCTCCCCCATTAGGTGGGAGAGGATACCATCCAGGAATCTTGTCACCAGAGAGGCTCAGAGAGGGCTTTCTCATACTCTACCCTCAGGAACTTTCTAGCATCCTCTTCTGAGTCCTCCATTTGTTGCTGCTGCTATGTTTGTTACCAACTAGCTGGCTAGAGCCCTGCTCCTATTCAAGTAGAAATCTTGAAGAGAATGGTGAAGAGAATCTTTTCGGGTGCAAGCAGTCCTGGGCCCTTGAGCACCTAAGACCTAGGGGCTGGACTGGCAGATCCTGAGAACGAGAGGCCTACAGCTGCAGACTTTTGAAGCCGCAGATGCACAGTTCCAATACTTGGGCTGGAGGCTGATTGGGTTTTTGACCTCCAGTAGCCATGGCACTTGACAGCTGTTTTGACTCTTAGCTCAGCAGAAGTAGACTGTAGCAGTGGACAGAAGAAACGGTGCATTCTAGTTTCGCAGTTCCCTTAAATCCAGGCCTCAGGTGCTGGAACTTTCCATTCCACAGTGAAAAATGGTTTGGCTCTCTGGCTCAGGGTATCTGAGGCTGAGGTCCTCAGGCTGGACAATTCGATGACTTTCAGAGACTAAGGTCTACAGTTTCTCAATTTCAGCTCTTCACAGCTTTCATGGTCTCCTTTGCCTGGCTCCCTGTTGTGTCTGCCCTATCCACTTCCAAGAACTCATCAGCTGTCCTCTTTCCCTACTGCTGCCTTCATGTAGTGGGTGTTCCACTGCTGCTTTCACTCTTCTGTAACTAGCTCAGCCTCCTGGATTAATAACGAAGACGAAGACCAAAAGTAAGTAAGAAAAGACCCCTTGAAAGACTTTTACTGGACTTCCAATACCAAGGGGTAGCACAGGAGGGTGTCTCCAAGCTTGCTTATATATCCAGGAAGTGGGGTATGGTAAGGTCATGTACAGCAATCACAGCAGCCCTTCATGTAAATGTGGGACTGAGTTTGTACCAATCAGGGCACAATATTTTATGAACATGATGACTTTCATTTGTGCCAATTGCAGTTGGTCCCTCATACATAGGCAGGACTGTTTGTACTAGTCATATGCCTCCTGCTGTCCCCTCTCTGTCCTGGGTGGAGGTGGCTGCAGGTGATGTATAGTTCACAGGAGCTTGTCAAGTTACAAGTCCAGCACAAGGTGTTTGAAACAATCATGGCTGACACAGTGCCTCTGGAGCCAGATTTGTGCTTTGGCAGAAACCAGCTGAGGTGGTCATGTGGCTCCCTCAAGCTGTCTTGTGAGTACTCAGAGATACTGACACTGGCAGTAGGCTAGGCTGGCTGGTCATTTGGCCAATAAGCTTTGACTCAAGGCAGCTTGGGTGCTAAGAAAGGGCCTGACAGTTGCCAGGGAGTCAAATTATCCCCACATCCAACATCTTGAGAGAAATATTTAAAGGAATAATATCCCTAACAGTGCTTTAATAGTATCATAACATACCTTTAACGATGTTTTAATTGCTGCCCCAGAGTCCCAGGAAGAGCTGGGTCTCTAATCCATACCAGAGGCCAAGGTATGGCGCTGGGCATGCCAAAAGGAATGCTTCACGCCAAAAGGCCACCCACTCCACTCCCTCAAGTACACCTCAAAAGTGTGAAAGAGTGAGCTTTGACTGCATAAATCTTCCATTTATTCTCCTAGCATGGGCAACACCATCCTGGTTGTTAATGAGCTTCTCAAGCAGTCACACAGTCATGGAAATGAGTTAGAAACTACTCTGGTGGTCTTCAAAGAATAGTGCAGAGGCCCCCTGCTCAGACTTACCTGGGACACAGTGAAGGGATCTGGAAGGGGAATCAAGAGTCTGCATTTTCAGATGTATAGCATAGATGGAGAGCTGGGGAGATAGGCTTTTTTTTTTTTATATTTGTTTTTTTTTTTTTTTTTTTACTGGTCACGGGGCCTTAACTCCGGGCCCGGGCGCTGTCCCTCAGCTCTTCAGTTCAAGGCTAGTGCTCTACCACTTGAGCCACAGCGCCACTCTGGCTTTTTCTGTTTATGTGGTGCTGAGGAATCAAACCCAGGGCCTCATGGCATGCAAGGCAAGCGCTCTACCACTGAGCCACCTTCCCAGCCCGGGAGATAGGCTTTGAGGAAAGTTCCCAGAATTTGTGAGCTTGTGCCCGGGTTACATAATTAGGAAGTGGCTAGAGACACACATGAATACTCACATCCGAGTAGGTATGTGTGTGTGTGTGTGTGTTTTGGTGGTACTAGGGTTGGATCTCAGGGTCTCGCATGCTAGGCAAACACTCTACTGCTGGAGGCCTTACCTCAGCTTTTGCGCCATATTAACTTCCAAGGTCTCACACTGTTGTCCAGGGCTGGCTTGGAAGGCAACCCTGTCTCTCCTGCCCTGGTGGCTGGGATTACAGACCTGAGTCTCCTTTCTGGGCCCTGACGAGCTGTTCTGATTTGCCTGTGTTAATTCCACTCTGCTACACCTTGACCATGACGACGGTCACATTACCTGTGTCCCGTCTGGATGAATGAAGGGGTAACTCGGTGCCCTCAAACAGGCCAGGGTGAAGGCTGGAGAGACCAAGAAGGGCCGCAGGCAAGTGCATGGCCTGGTGCTGTGGGTCAAGTCCCGCATCCTCCCCGGGCGGCAGGGCGCCAGGTTCGGAGCCCACTGCACCGGGGTGGGTGGGGTTGGCTCAGCCCTGGGGAGGGCGGCCGGGCCTGCGACATGGCGAACGACGCCAGGGATGAGGGACCGCTGGGCCCCTGTCCTCGGCCCCCCACACCCTCCGGCCCGCGTCCCCACACCGCCCGGCCCCCGTCCTCCGACCTCGGCCCCCCACACCCCTCGGCCCCCGTCCCCACACCGCCCGGCCCCCGCTCCTCACCGGCCGGCCTCCGCGCCTCTCCAGCGCAAGAGCCTCGGCTATGGAGCCGGGCGCGGGCCCGCTGACCTCCCGCATCTGACCTCGTGAGACACCGCTTCCACCTCTCGCGAGAGACCTTCGCTGGACTTCCGGCCCCCGAACCCCGCCCCTCCGACGGCGTCTCCAGGGCCGCAGCCATGGCGGCGGCGGCGGAGCGGCTCTTCTCCCTGGAGCTGCTCGTGGACTGGGTG